AAGATACAACATTTCAGGACCCTGACAGTAGATGGCTGTACTGCATTTATACTGTATTTGCACCATTCATATATATTCTTTTTTTTTCTTTTAGACAAAATTTTTTTTAATTTTTTTTTATTGGTTGTTCGTGATTCTGCAATCTGCATTCATATATATTCTTTTACCAGAATTCTTCACTTAACCGAGTAATTGGGGGATTCTGTACCTTGCTTATCTCTGTATCTGGACTTATAGCTTGGTATATAATGGGCATTTGTTTATTCAATGGCCAGTTTACAAGTATGTATTATCTCTGTCCTTATGCAAGGTACTGAGAATAAAGGAGTAAACCAAGGTCATGATTTTCTTCTTCTTGATGCCAGCCATCTATAAAAGATAAATGAGTATTTACACAAGAAATATGTAATTGTAAAATGTGGTAAGAGTATGAAAGAAAAGTATAGAGTGGTATGATAGACACTAACAGAAGGGCCTAAATTTTATTGTAGGGATCAAGAAAACCTCACAGAAACTATTATATATACTTGTGGGATTCAAGCCATAAACTATAGCCTCAAGCAAAATGTACCAAAATCTAAAGTTCACACAAGGGAAAAGATGGTGTGACATTTTAAAGTCACAGGACAGGTTGCAGATTACTTTTCTGATGTTCTGATGTCACCGTTGATTTTTCTGAAGACTGACCTTTCTCTGGACACAGCTTTGAATAATATTTTTTTGACCTGTCAGCTCATGTGTTCTGACTCTGGAGACGTTATTTTGTAAAGACTTTCCAGGGGGAAATTTGGCTCTTATTATTTTCTGTGAAATCTCCTGAGACAGTTACCTTAGAGAATAAGATAGACAGTAAACAACCAAAGGGGAATAACATTGTCTTGCTCCCCGTATAAAAAGAAAAGCCAAGACGAATGCTCAGAGCATAATGAGGAACAATTAAATCACACTTACCCATGAGCTTATCAGGGAGCCAGAAAAGAAAAATTAAGTGTTAGAAGTTAATAGTTTTTGCTCCTTGACAATAGTAGGCTAACTGCAGAGAGACCAATCCAAGTTGGTGAGCTGCGGTCCTTGATGGGATTAGAAATGGCCACTTATGATTCTGAGATAGCTGGGCACCCTGGCTGGGATGACCTGGTACAGAATGTGCTGAGTCACATTTGTTGGTTAGCTTTTCTCTAGAGTGGGCACAGAACATTCACTGGGCACCCTGGATTGTCCACCCCTCTGCCTCTCCAGCCAAGAAGACAATTAATTTCTTTATTGACTAAGGCACACAACTCTGAGAATTCCAGGGCATGGGAAGACTTCCCAGCATTTACCAAACAGTGATTCTTACTCTGCCCTTCATGCTCCTCCCAG